GACTGAAGTGCTGAGACGTGCTATAACGTGGATGAGCCTTAAATTATAAGTAATATGTTGCGTTAAAGAAGCCAGACACCAAAGGCTCCATAGTGTGTAATTCCACCTGCGTGAAATGTCCAGAACAGGCACATCCATGGAGACAGACAGCAGATTGGGGGTTGTCAGGGGCTGGGGGCGGGGAATGTGGAGTGACTGCTGATGGGGACGGGATTTCCTTTTGGGGGGACGAGAATGTTCTGGAACTAGATAGAGGTGGTGGTTGCTTAACATTGTGGATGTACTAAATGCCACTGAATTAACCGACATTTTAATCCACTTTTAAGTGATTAAAATGGTACATGTTTTGTTATCTGTATTTACCACAGTTAAAAAGACAACAACACAGGTTTCAGGCTCCATGTCCCCACGTCCCCCTGTATAGCAGTTCTGCCTGGGGTGGGGGTGGGGGTGGAGGAGCCAGACCCTGCTGCCCTGTTCTCAGATGCCCACCCTGCACCCTAGACCCTCACCTGACAGGTGCACAGGTTTGCTGTGCCCCGGGACTGGGTGACCTTGCATGTATTACAGCCTCTCTCTGGCCTCAGTTTGCTAATATGAACAATAAGGTGGTTGGCGACCTGACCTTGAGTACCTCCATAGTCCTATCCAGCATCTGACTGGCACCGTTCCTAGTAGTGGAGACTGTCCCATGCATTGTAGGACATTTACCAGCTTCTACCTACTAGATGCCAATAGCATCCCACCCCCGTCCCTGTTGTGATGACCCAAAATGTCTCTAGATATTGCCAAATGTCCCCCGAGGGCAGAATTGGTGCCCATTGAGAACCAAAGGTTCAGTCTCCACCTCTACTCTGGCCACTGCGTCTAGGATCACTGACCACTGTGGCATCAGTGATTTGCTAATGGGACCAAACTTGGCCAATCAGAACATTGCTTTCCTGATCTTAGTGATTGGTGGAAGGATATCACATGACCCAGACTTGACCTATCAGAGTTGGTCCTGGGACTTTTGCTTGAGCTGTTGGGGCAGAGGAATTTTCTTTCTGCAGAGGATGGGGTATTGGTAGGAGAGAAGCACAGAGCTGNGGGGGTGGGGGCGCAGGGGGGGGCTTTATTCTAAGGGCAAGGAACAGCCAAGGGCAGTTCTAAGCTGGGGACGAACAGTATCTGCTATGTTTTCAGAATCCCCCCACCATGTAACATCCATGCAATGGAATATTATGTAGCCGTAAAAAGGACTGAAGTGCTGAGACGTGCTATAACGTGGATGAGCCTTAAATTATAAGTAATATGTTGCATTAAAGAAGCCAGACACCAAAGGCTCCATAGTGTGATTCCACCTGCGTGAAGTGTCCAGAACAGGCACATCCATGGAGACAGACAGCAGATTGGGGGTTGTCATGGGCTGGGGGTGGGGAATGTGGAGTGACTGCTGATGGGGACGGGATTTCCTTTTGGGGGGACGAGAATGTTCTGGAACTAGGTAGAGGTGGTGGTTGCTTAACATTGTGAATGTACTAAATGCCACTGAATTAAGTGACATTTTAATCCACTTTTAAGTGATTAAAATGGTAAATGTTTTATTATCTGTATTTACCACAATTAAAAAGACAACAACACAGGTTTCAGGCTCCATGTCCCCACATCCCCCTGTATAACAGTTCTGCCTGGGGTGGGGGTGGGGACAGGGGAGCCAGACCCTGCTGCCCTGTTCTCAGATGCCCACCCTGCACCCTAGACCCTCACCTGACAGGTGCACAGGTTTTCTATGCCCCGGGACTGGGTGACCTTGCATGTATTACAGCCTCTCTCTGGCCTCAGTTTGCTAATATGAACAATGAGGTGGTTGGCGACCTGACCTTGAGTACCCCCATAGTCCTATCCAGCATCTGATTGGCACCGTACCTAGTAGTGGAGACTGTCCCATGCATTGTAGGACATTTAGCAGCTTCTACCTACTAGATGCCAATAGCATCCCACCCCCATCCCTGCTGTGATGACCCAAAATGTCTCTAGACATTGCCAAATGTCCCCCGAGGGCAGAATTGGCACCCATTGAGAACCAAAGCTTTGGTCCCCACCTCCATTCTGGCTACTGGGTCTAGGATCACTGACCACCACTTTGGCATCAGTGATTTGCTAATGGGACCAAACTTGGCCAATCAGAACATTGCTTTCCTGATCTTAGTGATTGGTGGAAGGATATCACATGACCCAGACTCGACCTATCAGAGTCAGTCCTGGGACTTTTGCTTGAGCTGTTGGGCAGAGGAATTTTCTTTCTGCAGAGGATGGGGTATTGGTAGGAGAGAAGCACAGAGCTGATAGGGAACTTCTTGGTCCTTTTCGGGGTGTTTTTATGCTTTCTCTGGCTCTTCTTGCTTTGAAGATGCCACACTGCATCATGTCTGACATATTAGAACAAGGCCAAGGACCTTTTGCTCTAAACATTTTGAAAGGGTTTTTATAATTATTCTTCTGGCTGTGGCTAGCAATGAATGGATGACTGGCTGGATGTGCTTGGGAATGCTTGCTGAATGAGGTCACCTAACCTCAAAAAAAAAAAAAAATCTGGATGGGCGGTGAATGAATTCTCAGCTTAACATTTAATGAGGCTGACAAAATGTTACCTGTTTTTTGCC